TGACACAAAAGAAGTAGAGGTAATCTCCTGAAAAGGACCTGGAAGTTATTTTAATCATGGGTGAAGACACCAATACTGATGTGTTTGTGTGTCTGTGTTTCTCCCTTCAGGTGTGGTGTGGAAGAAAGCCCTGTCTGTTACCCAGACATCCAGACTACACGGAGGATCAGTGTCCACGAGGCCAGGACTGCCTGGAGAGAGCCTACCCCAAATGCCTTCAGCCTCCTTGTGCAGCTTGGGGAGAGTGCAGCCCAGTGGAGCCCCTTGTCCCAAGCACCCCCATGTCAGCCTAATTCTGGACACCTGGGGAATAACTGTGCCAAGATCACCCTCATCTTTAACCGAGACAAGGTACCCCAGGTAAGGATACCCTACCCACCTAGAATTGATCCAGTTTTGAGCAGCCCTTGGGAGTAGGCAGCTAGAGTCTGTTTCAGTCTCATAGAATCACAGCCTTCCTGACTGAGATACTTCCAGTAACAGAGAGTTCATTATCTTAGGCAGGAGTGCTTTCCATTTTAGACAGACTGACAAGTTATTAAGGAGTTTTTCCTGACATCAAGCTGAAATCTGCTTCTCTATACCACCCATTGCTTCTAATTCTGTCCTCTGAGCTCAAACAGAACAAACTTAATCATTCTTTCTTTGGAAGGTCCTTCTGAGATCTAAAGAAAGGATCAATTACCCTAACCTCCTTCTCCCTGGACACAGGTTGGATGATATAACTTATTTCAGAGTTCTGCTTTTCTGTTGGAGTCAGTTGTGAATAGGTAGGCATACATGGGTTACTATTTACCTTTTAACTTTTTCCAGTGGCTTTTACTGGTAGTGCCCTCAGAATATGTGAGATCTTTAGCAAGAGAAAAGACTGGCTTTATTTTCACCCTCTAGTATTTTATTTATCATATGACTTGCATTTTCATTGTCCCTGTCTCTTCATATGTGTATCACTAATACATTTGTGTGGTACTTCATAGTTACAAAGTTCTTTCATGGCCAGTGTCACATAGAATCCTCACGATAAAGGGGGAAAATTTGGGAGAAGGGTGGTAATGATTTTGAAGATGAGGAACACAGAATCTTCATTAATTACATTGGATTTCCCTAATATATAGCTTGGGACCATGAGCCCTGATACTGAGCTGATGTCACCCTTTGTTCTCTGTGGAACAAGGATTTGTTGGACCCATTAGAGTATAAACAAGATTGTAATAGAAATGTTTTACAAACTTCTTCCTGGCATCTTAGCAGTGATTCGTGTCATCTCACAGAGAGTGATTACTTGGGAGCAGAAGTCAGTATTGCTTATGGCTGTTATAAAATTTGCGATGATTCATTTATATCTCTTCATTAAAGCAGGACCTCTGTTGGATAGCACTGTGTTAGGTCACTGACTTCCTTATTTAGCACAGGGCTGAGACCTTTATTAGAAAACAGTCTGTCATTCAGACTGTTCATATTGCTAAAACATCTCCTGATTAGCCTAAAGTAATGAGATTTTGCTAAATGTGGAAGTGTGCATGTGAAAACATCCCTGTTTATCCCCAAAAGGACAAGATTGAAAAAAGCATTAAGGTGCCAATCAGATGCTCTAAGGATTTTAGCTCTGCTTATGAACATCAAACTACTGCCCATAGTAACTAATTGAACTGCTATTCCCAGAGCTGGAAGGTACCTTCCAGAGGCTACTTCTGAGGTAGCTACTATCATATCTAGACTCAGTATAAAATGAGGACAATCTCATTTAAGGCCTCCAGAGTTAGGGAACCTCTTAAGGCAGCAGGAAGACAATGGTTCTGGAATCAGAGGACCAAGGTTCAAATTCTATTTCTGATTGTCTCTTACGTGTGTGACCTTGGGCAAGTCACTCAACCCCAGGGCCTCAGTTTCCTCATTTGTAGAATGAAGGAGTTGCACTAAATAACTCTAGAGCTATGATCTTCCATTGTTAGTAAACTGTTCTTTGTATTGAATGAAAATCTGCTTTCCTATAATTTCTCTGCCTATAAGAAAGAAAGTCATTGGACTTTCTTTCCACATGGGTGAAGGCTGTGTGCTATGGCAGATCCCCACTTTTCTCCCCTCCCTACCTGACATGTCACTTTTCACTCTTAATGAGTACCTTCTTTGTCCAGTGCCTGCCAAGAAATGGACCATTCAGTGGGTGATTAATGTTTGTTGGATGAAATGAGGACCCAGTGAAAGAAACAGGCCTATATTCCTTGTCCTCTGGTAGCTCCTAGCCTAGAGAAGAACACAGGACAGATGCTTGTTGTACCAGCATATGTGGCTTACAGATATGCTTAAATTGTACACAGTGGCTATGCTTCTGAAAAGTTGTATGTAAACCATATTATTTTGGAAATCAAGTCATTTTATCCATCTTGCATACTCATGTTGGAGCCACTTTATTCCAGGTAAGCAGTAGAATAATGGATTTTAGAGCTGGAAGAAATGTTAGAGGTCTTCAGGTACACCCTTCATTTTATAGAAGAGGAAGGGAACCCTCCTCCTTGCCTCCCCTTTCCCCCCAGATAAGGGAAGTAACAAGTTGTTACAAACAGAAACAACAGAATGTACCTCTGTGTCTCTGTTCCTGCCTCTCCCAGCCTTATTGTTGAGTAGCTTATGGTCAATAACAAATCCTCAGAGGTACCTGGGAGCTACCATTTATGCTAGATTCCCAACAGAGAGTTTAGATTCTACATCCTCTCCATCCTATGCTTTGCGTGGTCATAGATGGGAAAAGGCGCACATGTGGCTGTGGATGCCTGGGGACTGTTCTACAGTCTAGTCTGTTAGACTCTCTCTCTTGTCCTGACTCTCACTCTCATCTTTCTGACCCCAGGGCACGACAGTGGGAGCCATCTGCTCAGGGATCCGCTACCTGCCAGCCACACGGGCAGCAGCACGGGAGGGCCTGCTGGTTCTGCTGTGTGACCTGTCGGCCTCCACAGAGAATGCTGTGGAAGTTGCTATTGTGAGTTCCCTAGGACCTGGAGGGAGGGGAGAATTGCAAAAACAGCTGGAGCTGACATCGAGGACACCTATCCCTCCCAAATTTGACTTACTTGACTTTGGAGTTTTCCATTCTTCTGGATCATAGCATCCTGAAGCAGCCTAGGGTCTGTCGGCCTGGGGTTCAGTAAGGGGTCAGGGAATATGGGGTGAGAAGATGAGATCAGTGGTCTTAACAGATTTGAAGCTTATGCATTTATTCAACAAATATTTAAGTACTGACTTTGTATTCTGCTTGATGTTGTAGGAGGTACAAAATTTTGATAGACGTGTTGCTTCCCAGGGAGTTTATAGTCTAGTAGGGGAATAAGATGTATATACATTAGTATGTTAGTGAAGTATGAAGTGCAGTATGAGGTCAGAGAAAAGTCATTACCAGTGGGGATCAGGAAAGGCCTACTAGAGAAGGCAGCATTTGAGTATGGCTTTAAAAGATGGTTAGGAATTCAAGAGATGAATATTAAACATAGTATATAGAACAGCTTGAGCATAGAGGTGGGAAAATGCAGGTTGTTTTTAGGGAGCTAAGAATAGACTATTTTGGCTTAAGTATAAGGTATATAGGTCATCTGATATAATGTCATTTTATAGACGAGAAATCTGTGGCCCATAGAGATTAAGTGACTTGTGTAAGGTCCCTCATTGTTAAGTGGAAGAGCTAAAATTTCAACCCAGATCCTTTGACTCTACATCTAGTGACTTTCTGCTGTATTGTGCTGGCTCCTCAAAAAGAGAGGATAAAAGTAAAACAAAAGCAGGTTTAAAAGGCAGGGTAATCCTAGTACAATGCTGTGAATGCCTTGTAAAGGAATATGAAGTTTACTCAATAGATCATTGGGAGCCACTAAAGATTTTATATCAGAAGACTGATGTGAGCAGATCTTTGTAGAAGAAAGATTGGTCTGACGGTGGTAATGAATTTGAGGTCAGAAAGTGAAGTTAAGAGGTCCTGTTAGGAAGCTATTGCAGTAATCTAGGTGGATAGTAACAGGGGTCTGTACAAGGCCAGGAACAATAGGAATAAAAAGCCAGCCATGGATATGAGAGATTTTCTGGAGGTGAAATTCAAGTAGCTGAGCATGAGAGATGAGGGAGAGGGAAGAATCAGAGATAAAGATTTTTAGCACAGGAGACCATGCAGAAAGTGGTGCCACAGAACAGCAGTGACATCAAAACAACACTGAGCTGGGACTGGTGTAAATGCCTGGTTCTGCCAGCTTTGGCCATTCCTACTCTCCTGGCCAGGACTAAGTCAGCCCTGAGAGTGAAGACTTCAGGCACCCTGTGAAACAGCTGTTTTATGTCTGGCAACTAACTAGCCTTCCCAAAAGGTATGGGACAGATCAGTCATGGTGGTGGCCTCTGGTGAGTCTCCTTTTCTAGGGGGAAAAAAAGGTACCAGATCTCAAAGAAAACATTTGGAGGACAGGTGGATTTAGATTTATAATAATTGCCTCAGGCTCCTGCAGGGATGACCCAAAGCTTTGTTAATAGCCAGCAAGCCACACTGGGTATCTACCATTTCCAGAGTTTTATACGAGACTTTCTGATGCAATGATAAAAAGTTATAAAACATTTAGTTATTAAAAAAATTATCTGGAAGCAAGTCCTTCTATACATCTAGTCCTGTGTTTTGATCGTTGGTGAGTAAGATAAGAAAAAACCCAGACCTTGCTTTGGGGCAATAAAGATAATAGATTTTATTAAGCCTGGTGATGGTAGAGATTTTTTTGTGGCTTGAATGAGCCACCAGACTCATGTTCTTGGTGTTAGAAGTTTGAATGACATCCGCACTACGTCCCACAGTCCTTCAGCCCACCCCGGGATGAACCAGACAACACCCTCATTCAGAATGCTGCAAATACCATCGTCAGCGCCATAACCAAGCCAGAGAATAGCACAGTGCTACTCGCCGTTACTGAGGTTAAAGTGGAAACTGTTGTGATGGGGAACTCCTCCACAGGTGAGTCTGGACACGGATGCACCAAGTCCTTCTGGACACTTTCTTCAGACATTCCGTAAGCTGTCCCACATGGGAGTAGTTCTTTGGGTGCCTGGGAGATAATGTGACCTTTAGGTGACCCCACAATAAATCTCAGGTTCACCATGAAAGATCTTTCACGTTGAAGGGCATTTCTGGGACCTTTTGAGTCCCGCATAGAAGTGGAATCACAGAATTTTGAAGTTCGAAGGGATGCGAGACAATCCCTTCCAGTGACAGGTCTTTTCTTGTTTGAAAACCTTGAGTTAAAAGAGAACCCACTACATCCCTATTCAATACATTTTAATTTTGGATAGCTTTACCTGTTAGGAAGTTTTTCTTTGCACCAAGCCTAAGTATGCTGCTCTTCAACTCTGTTGCTTCTGATTTGATTGCTTCTGGGGCCAACTCTAGTTTCTTCTCTACATGAAAGCCCTTCAAGTGTCTGAAGATAACTATCATCTAACACACATCTTCTCTTGTCCATGGTGTAAACGTCTGTCTCTTTCAAATAGTTTTCATATGGTATGATTGATCTTCAGATCATTACCATCCTGGTCATCCCTTTCTGGAGTTTATCCAACTTCTCAATGTCTTTCCTAAAATGTGGCACCTAGAACTGAAAAAAAAAATGTTCCATATATGGTCTGTATCCATATATGAATATAGTGGGACTATCATCTTCTTCATTCTGGTCATCATTCTCTCTTAGGAATGCATTCTAAGGAGACTATTAATTTTTTTGACTTCCATGACATTCTTAACTCATATTGAACTTATGGTCCAATAAAGCCCCCAAATCCTTTCCAAATAAACTGCTGGGGAGAACTACCGGTTATTTTCCCATGTTACATTTCTGAGATTGATCTGAATCCAAATGTGTGATTTTACATTTATCTTTACTGTATTTCATCTTATGGATTTGGCCCAGTGTTTTTAAGACTGTTGAAGTATTTCTGTATCCTGACCCTGTCAACTAGCAGAAACTAGCAGGTTAGCTATCACACCCATTAATATCATCTGTAAATTTGATAAGCATACCTTCTGTGAAGTATAAGTTAAACTCTGCCTGTAGCATTCCTGTAGTCTACCAACCCTGTCAGAAGAAGAAGTGAAGTTAGCGTGGTGTGATAAAATGAATTTTATCAGCAGTGGCTAGATCCCATTGTGTCTATACTTAACCTTGGATTTCACCTTTCTATTAGCCATTTTCACTCCTTCCACTGCCAAAAGCATGCCCTGGTACCAAAGACAAACACCAAATAAGAGTTGAGTTCTTCTGTGTTCACTGTACCATCTGTTAATATTCATCACATCCACCCAAGTAATGGTGCTTTTCTGATCCTGTTCCCAGCACAGCTTATGGGTAGGGAGAGTGGTGAGGAGAAGAGAGAGCCCTGTTTTTTGTCCTCAGCATTCATCTGGACTTTAGCATTCCTGACACTGTTCTTATGAGACCATGTCATGCATCTTCTTTTTATTCTGTTAACCTGTCCTTGCTTCCATTTCTTTTTCCAGTCCAGGTGGTTTGATGAGTTCCCTGTGTGGCCACATTGTTCTCTTTAGACAATTCCCTCTTTTCTTCTTCACTGGAATTGTTTTGGTTTGTTTTGGGGTCTTTTTTTTTTTTAAAGAATTCCATTCCATAGAATTGTAAGCTATGACATCCTTTTCCTTTCCTTTAACTCTTTGAAATCTCTTCTCTTAAAATCTAGGGTACATTGCCAGCTTCCTCTTCTTCTTCAAAGCAAATTCTAAGATTGTCTCTTCCTCCCCACCTACCTCAAGGCTCTAAGCCTTTCTACTTCAACATTTGGTTCCTCAAGATTGGTGAGAATAGGGGGCAGAGCCAAGATGGCAGAGTGAAAGCAGTGACTTGCTTGAGCTCTCCCCCAAACCCTCCAAATACCCATAAAATAAATGGCTCTAAACAAATTCTAAAGCAGCAGAACCCACAAAAAGACAGAGTAAAACAAATTTCTAGCCCAAGACAGCCTGGATGATTGATCAGAAAGGCATATCTCACCAGGTGGGGAGAAGAGCACAGTTGGGTTTCGGCGCACAGGCTGCAGCAAACCTAGAGCAGGCCTCAGAGGACTGAATCATAGGCAGCTGTGGCAGCTTCCAGACTCCTCAATCCATGAACATCAAAGACAGCTTAGAAGGTCAGGTGGGAAAAGTCTGTTTTTGCAGTGAGAGAAGAGCTAGGTCAGAGCCAGTTTCAGAGCGTGGGTGCCGGGGCGGTGGCTGTGTCCTGAGCTTCCGGCCCACAGACTGAGGGGGAATCAAGTAGCTGATCAGAGGGGGACTGCAGGGATCTCTTTGCTGGTGCTGAGGCAGGAATCTCTTGCTTTGCCCGTGCTTGGATCTGGGTCACAGTTCTGGGTGTCGTTTCTGGGGTGAGGAGGAGCACTGGCGTGGTGGAGCTTGTAGTGGCTGTGGAGAGGAAACCCTCCTCACAGTTCCAAGAGAGAAAAGACTGCTTGTGGCCAGTCACTCAAAGACCAGAGCTTAGGCCAGGAAAAGAGTAAACACCTTGACCCTTATCATACCACCTTGGAAGAACTGAAAATTTACAGGCCCCTACAAGCATCTCTGAAAACAGCTGTATAAACCCCTGAAGCTTGGGACAGTACATTCTCCACATTGGAAGCAGACTCTTACCTTAACAAAGAGTTTAAAACTCAGGTAGTTGGCTGGGATCATGAGCAAACCTCGCAAAAAGAGTCAGACTATATTATCTTATTTGGTGACAAAGATCAAAACATACAACCAGAAGAAGACAACAAAGTCAAAGCTCCGACATCCAAAGCCTCCAAGAAAAATATGAATCTGACCCAGGCCTTAGAAGAGCTCAAAAGGGATTTTGAGAAGCAAGTAAGAGAAGTAGAGGAAAAACTGGGAAGAGAAATGAAAGTGATGCAAGAAAATCATGAAAAACAAGTCAACAGCTTGCTAAAGGAGACCCAAAAAAATACTGAAGAAAATAACACCTTAAAAAATAGCTTAACCCAAATGGCAAAAGAGGTCCAAAAAGCCAATGAGCAGCAGAAGAATGCCCTAAAAAGCAAAATTGACCGGATGGAAAAGGCAGTCCAAAAGCTTACTGAAGAAAATACTTCCTTAAAAATTAGAATAGAGCAATTGGAAGATAGTGACTTTATGAGAAATCACGATGCAGTAGAACAAATCCAAAAGAATGAAAAATTAGAAAACAATGTGAAATATCTCATTGGAAAAACAACTGACCTGGAAAATAGATCCAGGAGAGAGAATTTAAAAATTATTGGACTATCTGAAAGCCATGATCAAAAAAAGAGCCTAGATAAGTTTGGTAAGAATAAGGTCCAGAAGAACAGTTCCTGTTAATACTTGCCCCACCCTCCTGCATCACTACCTTATTGTGGCAGAAGGACTTTGCCTAGCTCGATGAAACTATGAGCTGTGTCATGCAGGGTTACCCAAAATGGACAAGTCATAGTGGAGAGTTCTGACAAAAGGGCATCCACTGAAGAAGGATCTTTGCCAAGGAAACCCTGTGGACAAAAAGATGCATGAGGTCACAGAGAGTCAGACACAGCTGAGTGACTTAAAGAACAACCACCATCGCCACCTTCTGAACTATGAATTTTTCACCAAGACAAACCAAGAATTTACTAACTGCTCTGTTTACATAATATAACATATTATATATTATTATATATTATGTTGTATGTTATTATATTATAATATATATAATATATTATTATATTATATCAGGCCAAACTCCTTGTCTGTTTCCTACTGATGTCTGAGTGAACTGTATTATACTCTTATAACAATGTTTCTTCTGTTTCTTCCTCAGTTTATCTTCACCAAGATGTTCTCCAGCAGGCTTCTTCTGTTTAGTTTCTGGATTTCCTCACATAAATATATCTTCCTAATGTACAGTACAGCTTCATCCCCTTCCCTTTCACCTGTCCTGTATCTTTTGAATAAGATACACCCTTCCAGAACCACATTGAGGTTATGAATTTTATCTCACCAAGTCTGAAAGATGTCTGTGTGGCTGAATTTGCTTCCTTAAAGGAATTCCCTAAAGGCTTCTTTTCACATTACTTATTGCCTGTACTTTGTACTGGTTATTTGTGTTTGTGTGCATAGATACCTGAGGCCCTGAATTTTACCACTGACTCCTTTCTTGGATTTTGGCCCCTGTGCATTACTGGTCTTCTCTACTAATACTCTTCCTGTGTCATAGTTCTTTTTTATGGTATCTAATATGGTAGATATGTAGATAATTTTTTCTTCTTCTCTCTCTCAATAGTTTAAAGTCCTTTTGATTAGATTTGCAAGACACCAAACAAACATTTTTTCCCACCAAGCTTTATTGGGTGCATCCTTTCTCTGACTTAAAAAAAAAAATCAATCCTGTATTTTATGCCATGGTCTAGAAATATCCTCTTCTCACACACCATCTTTTTAACCAATAGTTCACTTCCCAAATCAGCCTTTATTCTGCTAAATTCCCTGTCTTAAAAGAGGTAATCTTAAGATCTTGAAACATTACCTCTTCCTCCTAAGTTCTTTAGGTTTTATTTAAGTCTTCATAATTCCTAGTAATGTTTTCTCTAAATTTCTTCTGGAAATAACATGTTTCCCATGTGACTCACCAGAAGTAGGTATGACAGAATCTTGGGGAATTCTCCATCATATCTTTTTAAGTACTTACTGAAGGAAAACATCAGATCCTTTTATTTTTAATATCCTGTCTAAAAACAGACCCCTTGATAACCTTCATCAGGGAGTCTCATCTCTTCACAGTCCAGACCTCACTGTATGGTCTTTCTTTTGAGTTCCTTCCAGAGAGGACCCAACTCCACCCCCCCACCTTTTTTTTTTTTGGACAGTCTCAACTTGTTTTTTTAGCTCCAAATGTTCTTCTCCATGCTGTATTCCCCCACCTTGCAACTTCCTGATGGTAGGCAGCATGCCCTTCTGCTTTTTCATCAATTTTTTTCTTTGTTTTTACCTTAAAACCTAGAGTCAGCTAGGTTGTGCAATGGATGGAATGCTAGACCTAGAGTCAGGAAGACTGAAGTTCAAATCCAGCCTCAGATGCTTAGTAACTGTGTGACCCTGAGCAAGTAACTTGGCCCCTGCCTGCTTCAATTTCCTCATCTGTAAAATGAGGATAATAACAGCAGCTACCTCCCAGGATTATTGTGAGGATAAAATGAAATAATATGTGTAAGACATTTTCCTAGCCTTAAAGTTCTACATAAATGCTAAGTGTTATTATTACTTAAAGTCCTTCTTCCATTTTTTTGAAGAAACACTTCATTCACTCTGTTAGCCTGGAAAGTGGTGAGGACGTTTTTCAATCCTGTTATCTCCTCTCAAACTTTGAACAAAATAGCACTTACTTGGCTATTGCAAAAACAAACAGCATCACCTTCACAGTTTGCCACAAGATTCTTGCTTTTGGCCCTTCTCTTTTCATCCCACTATGTTCATTGTTTCTGGCACTGTGGGTCACGTGCATAGAATGAGACTTTGAATATGATTGTGCCTTCCCAGACAGGCTGGCATCATTAGAGTTAGTGGAGATAGTATAGTGCTATAAAAAAGGGGTGTTGGGAGCTAATTTGTGGGGAGACTGGGCCAAGTGATGGGGAGGGCATTGAAGGGCTTGCTCAGTGCTAATTCTCAGGCCCTAACAGAGTTATTAGTTACTTCAGGTTTGTAGCCTGTTGCCACAAATCCTGGCTCTGACTGGTTTTTTCTTCCCTTTGTTGCCTAGATTACCTAGTTCCCATCCTCTGTGGGGTCTTCAGCATCATGTGGCTGACATGTATCGTCATCTGCGTGTGGTGGACTCGAAAGAGAAGAAAAGAGAGGGAGAGAAGCCGACTTCCCAGGGAGGAGAGTGTGAACAATCAGTGGGCTTCCCTGAACCCCATCAGGAACCCTATAGACAAACCGTACAGTAACAAAGACATTTATTATGAATGCAAAAACTTCATTTCTCCTCCTAAGAGAACTCGTGATGAGGTGGAGGAGTATGTAGAGTATGAGGAAGAGGAGGAGGAAGAGGAAGAGGAGGAGGAAGAGAGA